ACCTTCTGTAAACTCCCGGCTTACACCGCCTCTGCAATGTACATTCCCCATTCCTCCCCCCCCCTCATCCCAACCGGACAAGTCCTCCCCCTCTCCCTCCCCCTCTCCCTCCCCCTCTCCTTCCGCCTCTCCCACCCCCACGTCCCGCCCCACCGATCTCCTCCCGATCCATCGCACCGCCCACGATGCTCCGCCACGCCCTCCGCCTCGGCGCCCCCCTCCTGCGCCCTAGCGACACCCGCGCCCTATCCACCATCCCCTCGCTCCTCTCCGCCGCCTCCAGTGCCAAGCCGATGAAGGACGCCGTCAAGTTTGCCTCGCCGCCGCCGTCCAGGCCGGTCGTGTGGACCTACTCGGAGCTCGACTCGCACGTCGCCGCGCTCTCGGCGGGCCTTTCCGAGCTCTCTGTCTCGCCCAAGAGCGTCCTCCTCGCCGTGCTGCACGCGCACACGCCGGAGTACGCCGTGCTGCTGCTCGCGTGCGCCCGCCTCGGCGCCACGCTCGTCGCGCTCCCGCCGCCGTCCGGCCCGCTGCCGCTGCCCACGCTGCAGGCCGCGCTGCGCAACCACCGCCCGGAGCTGCTCTTCATCGGCAAGGACATCCTCGCCCCGGGCCCGCCCGCGGAGCCCGGCATCCTCTCCGCCGTCCACCCGTTCGCCCACGCCGTCGCCCCGCGCGTCGCCCTGCGCGACGCCAGCGGCCCGCGCGGCTTCTCGCGCCTCTCTGGCCGCCCCTTCGACAGCCCGGACCACCCGTACCTGCGCCACGTCGTCACCACCTCGGACGAGAACATGCGTGCATCCATCACCTTCCGCAGCCTCCTGGTGTACAGCGGCGAGGCCCCGCTCCCGCCAGACCACGACTTGCCGCTCCTCACGGACGCCGCATCAGGGACAACATGGAGCGCGGCCGAGATTGTGGAAGGCGCAAAGAAAGTCGGGAAGGACCTGGGCCTGGGGAAAGACCATCGAGAGAAGAACGGCAGGCTTGTCGTTACCCCGGGCGTTACGGATACGTGCGCAAGTGGTGTCGTCGCGGCTGTTATGCACGAAAGCTTGTGGGTCAGCCCCGGCGGGGAGGACGTTAAGGTTGTGTCGGAGGCGGAGGGTGCGCTCGTCGCATAGGCGTCGTGCAGGGGGTTTGGATGTTGCTCCGCGCTTTAGGGAACTTGCTGACGCTGGAGGGGGGGTCACCAAGTTCCCCAAAGGAACGCGTGGGGGCAGAGGTGGTCGTGCTTTCGAGGGGAAGGAGTTTGGGAGGCTGGAGCGCGTGGTGGGGATGGAGAGGTTTGTGTATTGGCGGGCTGCGGTGGAATTTGTCGATGGCTCAACACCCGGGCAGAATGGGAAGTATGCCACGTGATCAATTCATGACCGGAGAAATCCGACCCGAAAATGCCATCATGCATTTGTAAAAAATAGAGCCACCATAAATGTGCCACCGCATCTCTCTGTCAATAATGGCCCTCACCAAACCTTCGCGCCCCCCATCCCCCTCGCGCCCACCATCCCCCTTCCCTGGCCACCCCCCACCCCACGCACTCCCACCCCACTGCTCCAAACATGCCTCCCTCGTCTCCTGCCTCGCTGCAGCACGCCTCCTCCTCCATCCCGCTCGTCGATCTGCGTGCCGAGTACGCCGTGCACGGCCAAGCCATCTCTTCAGCGATCACAGCAGTCGCCGCGCGCGGCTCATTCATCCTCGGTCCGGAAGTAGCCGAGCTCGAGGCCGCCCTCTCCAGCTATGTCACTCCCCCCGAAACCGAGCACCCCGTCCACTGCATCGGCGTGTCCGACGGCACCACCGCCCTGCAACTCTGCCTGCAGGCCCTGCGCATCGGCCGCGGACACGAGGTTGTCACAGTCCCCTTCACCTGGATCTCGACGCCTGAGGTTATCCCTCTCGTCGGCGCCACGCCCGTGTTTGCTGACATCGAAAAGGACACCTACCTCATGGATGCTGAGAAGCTGGCCCCGCTGCTCACGGCCGCCACCCGCGCTGTCATCGCTGTGTCGCTGTTCGGCTTGATACCCGACGTGAAGAGAATACGCGCCGTGCTGGACGCAGCGGAGGAAAAGTTCGGCACCAGGATTTCCCTCATCGAGGATGCGGCGCAGAGCTTTGGCGCGAGGAGGGGGGGCTATCGCAGCTGCGCGGCCCCGGAGGTTACGATGGCGACCACCTCCTTTTTTCCAACCAAGCCGCTCAGCTGCTACGGGGATGGGGGAGCCGTTTTTACCAGGAGTAAAGAGCTCGCAGCGATGGTCAGGGCCCTGAGGGTGCACGGGAAGGTCGAGGGGAGACACGTTCTCGTAGGCGTCAACGGGCGGTTGGATACGATTCAGGCGGCTGTGTTGCTGACCAAGTTGAAAGCGTTTGATGAGATGATAGACAAGAGGGGAAAGGCCGCAGAGACGTACAACCGGTTACTATACGACGATGAGCGGGTGGTGACGCCGACGTATCAAAGGGTCGTGCGCGAGGACCGGGAGGTGCGGAGCGTGTACGGGGTGTACACAATACGTGTGCAGAAGCGTGACGAGGTGGCGAAGAGGATGCGGATGTCGGACGTGGCGTGCGCCATCTACTACCCGTTGTGCTGCCACCAGCAACCGGTGTTCAAGGGACTGGTGTCGGAGCCCGGCGCACTGATTGTGGCCGAGGAGGCGAGCAGGGAGGTGCTGTCGCTCCCCATGCATCCATACTTGTCGGAGGACGTGCAGGTGCGTGTCGTCAAGGAGCTGCGCACGGCGCTGGACGACCTCGGCGTGACCGCTTCGCCAGAGTAGTGGGGACTTTGGGGCGCGTAGAGAAGAGAAAACGAAGAAGTCAGGGCTTGGCGCTTGTGGTTGCTGGCAACCTAGCCGGTGCCAGCACCAGCTACCGGCACTCGAGGCCCCTGTATCTGTAGTACAGATAAAATCAACGCTGTACTGTACAGAATCTGTACATCATATCATCATAAACGTCAACATATTGCTTATGTTGATCTCCTCAACATCTCCCCTGCAAACGACCACATTTCTCCCAACGCCCCACTCCCGCCCTTGTCCTCCTCGTGCATCCCCAGTGATCTAACTGTGATCTAACTCTCTTCACCAAGATGCACTCCCCAGCGTTTGCGGTATCTGCCGCTATCACCCGCTGTCCATCCCAACTAGCCACATGCCAAGACCACTCTCCATTCACTTCCTCCTTCGTCACTTCAAGCAATCGCCCCGCCCGCCTCATCAGCATACCCCAACACCCGACATGCCCATGCCGCCCAGCACGCGTCCACCTTACCCACATGAAGCTTCTTGGTGTGCCCGAGCGCTCACTCAACGTCCTTGTCGTCGGCTCCGGCGGCCGCGAGCACGCCCTGGTCCACGCCATCTCCACCTCCTCGTACGTCTCCACTCTCTACGCCGCCCCGGGCAACGTCGGCATGGACGCGCTTTGCACATGCGTCCCCTCCGTCGCCGCTGATGACGTCGACGCCATTGTCTCCCTCGCCCGCAAACACAACATCTCCCTCGTGGTCATCGGCCCCGAAGTCCCGCTCGTCCTCGGCCTCGTCGATCGTCTCCAAGAACAAGAGATTCTCGCTTTTGGCCCCACTATGGAAGCTGCCGTCCTGGAGGGATCCAAGGTCTTTACCAAGGCCTTTTTGGAACGTCATCATATTCCCACCGCATGGTACAAGCCTTTTGCGGACCCCAGCGCTGCCAAGGCCTTTATCAGGGAGAAGGGCGTCCCGATCGTCGTCAAGGCTGACGGACTCGCCGCTGGGAAAGGTGTCATGTTAGCAAAGACACTCGCAGAGGCCGATGACGCCGTGGATAGGATTCTGGTTGAGGGGGAGTTCGGGAGCGCAGGGGCCCAGGTGGTTGTAGAGGAGTTTCTAGTTGGGGAGGAAGTCAGCTTCTTCGCGCTCTTGGACGGGGAGACGGCTTTGCCACTCGTGTCGGCCCAGGATCACAAAGCGGCATACGATGGGGATACAGGGCCGAACACGGGAGGCATGGGGGCTTACTCCCCTGCTCCAGTATGTGATCTAGCACTCAGGGAACAAATCATGAATCGCGTTGTGTTACCGACTATGCGTGGGATGAAGGAGGAGCAGCGTGAATTCCGCGGGATTTTGTATTGTGGCATGATGGTCAATCCGGAAACTAAGGAGGCCAAAGTTCTCGAGTTTAACGTCCGTTTTGGCGATCCGGAATGTCAGGTTTTGTGCAAACGAATGAACACGGACATGCTTGAATTGCTATATCGCACAGCAAAAGGTACGCTGGGGAGAGATGGGTTCAAACTAGAATGGGACCCGCTGTCGGCAGTCATTGTCGTGCTTGCTACGAAGGGATACCCCGGCAAGTACGACAAAGGAAGTACCATCCGAAACTTGGACGCAGCAAACAGCATTGATGGCGTTACTGTCTACCATGCTGGCACTGCAAAAAATGAAGGGGGCGATTATGTGTCGGCAGGAGGAAGGGTTCTCGGCGTCACTGCGACTGGTACATCGATTGGCGATGCCCAGCGTGTGGCGTACGAAGGAGTGGATGTCATAGACTGGTCAGAAGGGTTTTGCCGAAGAGATATAGGTTGGCGTGCTATCGCACGTGAAACGGAAAGAGTTAGCTCAAAAGTGACGAAGGAATGAGGTATCGGTTGATTTGTCATGTTAGTTGCGCAGTGGCATACCAAAGGAGTGTGCCATATGCTCACGACGGAACCTGAACTAATCAATTTTGAGATGTGGTCTTGATAGGTGACGCCAGGGAACTGAGGGTAACCCGTCAAGAACAAGACCATTGTTATGAGAAGTCCTTCTGGGTAGACGTTGTCAGTGTGATTTTGTTGGCTATACAGTATACCGTACATCTTGGCTGTACCCCTTGGTTCCAACGGCTGTGTGAGTTCGGGGCAGTGTGTCAGAGTGTTCTGACCGACAAGGAGTGATAGTCTGTACATACCCGTACACAGATGTAGAAGTCTTCAGGAGGAACAAGCCTGTCCCCTCGCCTTCCTTCACCTGCTGCTTGGAATGGGAGTATACTGCGAATATTTTCTCGATTCCCTTACGCACATACCCAGAATCACAATCCAGGCGGCAATTGATGTAACCGCGGCCAGGATTAGAAGCCATTGAGGAAGGCCGCTTCCCCTCGCCACAGACGCCGCGCCTGTGATAAGCAGTTCTGCAGACTGGTTGACACAGTTCTTTGCGACAGCAAAACCGATACGATAATTCTCTCGATCGTACTCCACAAAATATTTTTGAAGGACGGTATTACCCATGATTGCTTTGTTCTGCATGAGCTCCAGGCTGTCCAAAAATGAGATCCCCAGACATCGATAGCTGACATTCTCCCACCCGAACACGGACGTAGTTTCGTACTCTAGCATGTAGGTGAAGGGGTCAATAACGAGCTCAACGCCGCCTTGTAGGGCAATGGTGATATCCGGAAGCATCTTAATGTACTTATCGGTGAGTCTGGCACAGTAACCGGGGCTGAACCAACTCTGGCCTTCAGCAGCCCTTCCGAACATGGGAATTTCGTGCGGCTGTGCCTGCTCCGTGACGTTTGGGCCCTTGATGACATGCGTGGATGCCACCTGCCTCCCCTTGGCGTTGACACACAAACCCGGGACGTGGCAGTAGTTGTCTTGAAAGTGGGCCTTGATAGCCATGTAAGCCTTCCTCGTAATGACAAGCACGGTGGTCCCCGAGTCGACGATAGCATCCGAAAAGGTAGGTACGGTGACTTTCTCCCCCCCGATACGAACGTGATTGATCTCGACGTCATAAAACTGCTTAACGGCTTTCCCGACCATCGGAACATACTGCAGCTCGCCCTCATAGTACCTATCACTACTCCCGCCCAGCACCAACGTCCCCCCATTCCTTGCGGTACAAATCGAGAAGACATCCCTCTCCACGAGCCCCTCCTTCAACAACTTATCAAACAGCGGGGTGACACACGTCGGGTTGCACGCGAGCGACTCATACGCCAGGCCCAGAATACCGTCAACATTATCATTCTCGAAGCCGTCGGTCTCGGTGAGAATGCCTCCGAACGCGAGCGGGACGGTGAGGCCCGCGACGGTGACATCCGCCTGCACGAGGGCGCCCTGCGCGCCGGAGTCGTCCGCGTACGACAGGAAGAAGGCGCACGCGTGTGGCATCTGGGTGGCGCAGCACGCGCGGGTCCGCGAGCACACGCGGCACGCGCCTGCGCGCGAGCACGTGCCGGGGCGGCACGCGGGCGACTCGCACGAGATGAGCCCTGCGCGCGGGTCGGCGGCGGAAGGGAGGCGCAGGCGGTGATCGTTTGGGCGGCAGTTGGAACACGTGGAGAGCGGGACGGCGAGCGTGGAGCTGCCCGTGTCGATCTGGACGTTGATCGGCTGCGAGGCAAAGCCCAGCGTGAGGTAGTACTCGCCCAGCGTGACGATGTCGCCGTAGAGCGGGTGCGTGGGGAGCGCGCGCGCGACGGGGTGCGGGAGAAGGGTCAGCGGCCGGTGCAAATGCGCGGACGCGGCGAGGGTCGGCGGGTGCCACCCGCGGCGGCGGAGGGAGAAGGCGCGCGCGGCCGGGAGCGGGCGGCGG